AAAAAATTGTCCACAATTTGTCGGATAAAATTATTGGAATTTTATAATAAAATTTGGATAAGTCAAAAGTTTCCTAAGCTGTGGAGCCAGTCTCTTATACTTCCAATAAAAAAGAACAACTTATCTCCAATTTGCCCAAAATTATATAGGCCTATCTCCCTTACATGCACGATGTGTAAACTTATGGAGAAGATGGTTAATAAAAGACTTGCTTAGTATTTAGAAAAAAATCATATTCTTCCAAAAAATCAAACAGGTTTTAGACAATTACCTTGGACAATTTGGTTTTTCTACAAACAGAAATAGCCAATGCTCTCAATAATAAACAGGAAGTGGTTGCTGGCATATTTGACATCGAAGGAGCCTATGATTCCGTTCAGCATTCTGTCATTATTCAAAAGCTCAGAAATTACTACCCTAGAGGTAACATTTTCTATTTCATTCAAAATTTTTTAAGTGAAAGGTCCTTTAGAGTAATAGCTAATGGCAAAATTTCCTTAAGTCATCCTCAAAATAGTGGTGTTCCGCAAGGATCTGTATTAAGCCCAATTTTATTTATCTTAGCAGTTAGCGATATTAATTTGAGTATCGATCCTCCGGTGAAATCTATTATGTATGCTGATGATCTCGTCATGTTCTGTCATGGAAAAAACATTGTTACAACTTGCAGTTTATTGTAAACTGCAATGGATCGTCTAAGCTTCTGGGCTTCAAATATTGGTCTGTCTTTTTCAGCTAATAAATCTAGTCATCAAATTTAGTAAACGACGAAAAGGTCAAGATATGAATATATTTTATAAGGGCCTTCCTATGACTATGGTGAACAATTGCAAAATTTTAGGAATAATTTTTGACAGTAAATTGTCCTGGCAGTTACATATCGAAGAAATCAAGAACGATTGCCTGAAGAGAATTAATTTATTGAAAGTATTAGCTCACCATCATTGGGGTGCTGATGAAAGTGTTATTATTAGGACCTATAGAGCTCTTATAAGATCAAAATTAGACTATGGTATTTTTATTTACATGTCTGCCTCCAATTACAACTTAAGATTCTTAAATACAGTTCAAAACACTGCCTTAAGACTGTGCCTCAGAGCTTTCAGAACAAGTCCCGTAGAAACCTTGTACTGTGAAGCCAACGATCCCCCTCTTTGGCTTAGACGACAGTACCTTCTTCTTTCCTATGCTGCTGGTATCTCTGCGAACCCTTCAAACCTGGTTTTCTTACTGTTGGTTTCAAACAATAACACATTCGTCAGTATTACTTCTCCTAGGGCTGTTGTCTCAATTCCTCAGGCTCTAAAATCTTACTTGGTGATATTGAGCTCACTAGAACGATGCCTTTTCTCATTTCTAAAAGTACTCCTTGGCTAAAAAAATTACCCAAATTTAATACCTCGCTTAGCCAAGTCAATAAAAGTAACACACCAAAAGAATTCTTTAGGCAATCATTTACGGAAATAATTTATAGCAACAAATTCAAAATAATTATATTTACGGATGCTTCTAAAGATCAATCCGGTGTAGGTTGTTCTGTCACCTCAAATGATGGGTTCCAGAAATCCTTCTTGCTACCTTCCCCATGAAGTATTCATACTGGGGAACTGTATGGGATACTTCAGGCTTTTAAATCATTAACTGCTGAGGATAACTATGTCGCTATATGTACAGACTCCCTTTCTTCGATCTACTCTATTAAAAATATTTATACTCAACATCCCTTGGTCCAAGAAATACACGATTGTTACAAATTTCTTGCTTCAGTAGGAACTTCCGTTTCCCTTATTTGGGTTCCCTCTCATGTCGGGATTGCAGGCAATGAGGAAGCTGATCGTGTCGCGAAAGGAGCTATTCAGATGAATCTACCACCAAAAAATATCCAATTAGTTAATGACCTAAAAACTGTATTTTGCCAAAAGGTCCATAATCAGTGGGAAAATCATTGGCACAATATTAATAATTTAAAACTTCGAGAAATTCAGCCAAATCTGCACTATTTCGAAATGCCCTCTCTGTCAAAGAAAGAAAGTACCATCATTAGAAGACAGAATTGGATATACAAGATTGACTCACAAACATTTACTGTCTGCCGAAGCCCAACCTCTTTGTTTGTACTGTAACAGGACTTTAACGGTCAAACATTTATTAGAGGAAGATTGCATTTACTTTAAAACTCAACGGGCTAAGAATGGTTTGAGTGATAGCATTAGTATCCTTATAGTATGAGAGACCACTGCAAATTTCGACCGTCATCTGATAACGAAATGAACTATGCTCCAAAAGCATGTAACAACATTGTAGTTTACCAAATTGCACCTGTGCCAATCCCTAACCTGAGCAAAGTGGTTAAAAAAAATTATTTTATATTCAAAAAATCACATAAAACATGACAGCGACAATTATATTTTCCCTGAAAATTACAATCCTAATTCGTTGTGAACCTAGCTTTTAAACCTGAATTATTAATATTTTTACCTACCTTTTAAACCATGTTTATGTATGAAAGGAAGAAGGATGGCATTGTTTAAACCATTTGCAGAGATAGTCAATAATAATTATAAAATCTTGTTAGACAATAGACCTTTTCATCACAATTTTTTTTTTGTGCGCATGCGTCAGTTTCAGCCATCTTTTTCGTACTGTTTTTGTAAACAAGTATGTTAAAATGCTTACGTGAAAAAAATTATAATTGATAAATATTAATTTAAGTCTATATTCATTTAAAAAAAGGAAGAAAAAAGTAAAGTAATAATAAGTTTAGTGTCTTAATTGAAAAATACATTTTCACAATCAATTATAATTATGATCTGTACGGAAAGGAACAACGAAACAGTGTTGTTATGTAAAAGTGACACACGGTATAAATATCATTCAAAGGCAATAGATATTATTTTATAAATTTTCCAAAGCCTTAACTGCAATATCGTAAACAATTATCAGGCAAAATCCATATTAAAAGATATTTGAAATGTGCATTAAGTGTGAAAAAATATGGTCGAAGTGACAACGGTTTTCGATGGATTAATGATGTCACTAAAGATACTTATATTTCACTGCATTTTCATGGAGAAAGTGGTCTAACAGAAGAAAATTCTCACCTGGTATTAAACAATATTTTTTAAATACTACTTCGGTATACACATTAAATGATTCAAAATGTCATGTTGATCCTCAAAATAATAAATAATTTATTTTATTAATTATACTCGTGATTAACTTTCATGCTAATTAAAGTGTTTTTGCAAGTAGTAATAGTTGGTTGGCATAATTAATTAGAATAAAGTTATAATTATTATTTGTTTTCATTAATTTTTTACAGAGTTAAAAAGTATTGATACACCTAACCTCTCAATTAGTCCACTTTGTTCCTTTGTAACAAACATCCAAGACACTTCAACCTCCTTTTCAACTGCTCACAACTATGCGCTTCCACAGAGTTATAAAAAAGTTATTCACTATCAACGATTTTTTCTAATGATTAATTTTTCTGTAGAGATAACATCGCTTTCCCAGCCATTGTCGATCAAAACAGTACGAAACTTTTGAATTACCGCTATTTCAACATGGTGGCTGCGCTTGCGCTCATCACATGATGAAAAGGTCTATTATTTTAAACCATAATCATAGTAGTTTTTTTGTCGTTTCTATGGCAACCTGTGAAAATGAATCACAACAATAGGCATACAAATAAATGTTTAAATCAGCGAACATTGATTCATATTTTTAATGATATTGACCTACTAATCGTGGATAGATGTTTTTGTGCGATGTTAAGAGGAAGAAAATGTTTCCCTTTAATGATATATATCAAGATATATTTAAATAATATTTTCTGGAAAACTTTAAGGGCAAACAAAATTAGCGCTGTCATGCCTGATGTGATTTTTTTAATATAAAATAATTTTTTTAAGCCACTTTGCTAAGGATTGGGATTGGCACAGGTGCCATTTAGTAAAGTACAATATTTTTCCATGCTTTTGGGGTATATTTCATTTCGTTATCAGATGACGGTAAAAATTTGCAGTGGGCTCTTGGGCTATTAGATGTCCTAGTGAATTTGGAAAACTATTAAATTTTTTAAAAGTTGTGAATTTATTTATTCAAATTTAAATTAGTATAAATTATTTTCCTGTACCCTATAGTTTTGTAAATTAGGTTTTTTTTTATTTCTTTTGTCTGTAGATAGTGTATATTTTTGTAATACCTCTTGTAATATTGTAATTGTACCTGTGTCAATGGCCCCTGATGCCGAGACACGTTAATTTCAATAAAAAAAAATTTTACAGTATGACAAATTTCAGATAGCAAGAGAAATGCGCAGAACATAGAAAGAGATCGCCCTACGCAGTGTGTGTAGTAGCCACACTTCCCGACATGTGATGTTGCCCTTACTCGAGTATATATTTAGTACTTAAATATGAAGATAAACATATATCTAAAGGTACACTTTGATCTGATTTGCCAGTGCGTATTTAATTCTCAATCTTGTCGAACTGTATTTTCTGAGTGAAATTGATTTTTTATGTTGTGTTTTATTTACTCATTTAACCCCGTATTGAAATTTAAATTATTTGGTTTAAGTTGTAAAATTTCTAAATTGAAACAAATTGATTTGAGCTATTTTCTATAAAATATTTCTGAAAGAGGAACTTAAAATTAGAACATATTATTTTAAGTGTCTACACAACCATGTAGGTACATGTTCTAAAATTGATCTCTTATCTATCACGTATTAAGACGAATATTGGGCAAAAAAAAATATAATAAAAAAAGCCAAAAGTTGACAAATTTATTAGTTATTTCAGAAAAAAACGAAGAAGTTTCTACATTGGCGTTGCTGGCCTAATAGAATCCTGGTCTGGCCTCTAAAAACTTCGGTGAAAACATCACTCTCATTCGTAATTTAACCTCTGGCCAGATTGCGGCCGACGATCTTGGTCGGCAGTAAATCTTTAATAAGTTTGTTGTTTTAGCAGTATTAAAGAGCATACACTCACCTCATTCGTATTCCAGCGATGCCTCTGCGTGGGAAAGTGGTCAGATCGGGGCAAACTTTCCAGGTTTTCGGGCAGCTTGATGGGCTCTCCGTCTGCAAAAGAACATTTTTGTTAGTTATTGCAACTTAAGATATCTGTATGTGTTTATAAAAGAGTGTTTACTGTTGCTGAAAATGAAAGTAAGATATTTATTCGATGAACATGTATAAACAGAATATTACAAGTTCTTATCGAAAGTAGTAATTTATTATTGATTATTGTATGCAGCGTATTCGAAATTCGAGTCTTTTTAAATCATTTATTTAAATATGTATGAGAGATAGAAGGAACTAAAGAATATATTAGAGAATTTGACGCATATATCGGATCTATTTTCAACATTTTTATGTTATGTAGTTTATAATTATTGGAAGTGCTGTTTTTGTTTTTGTTTTCTTTCTTTATGCATTTCAGATAATTTTCCAATTCTCTTACTGTATGTATTTGCGTTCTTACGTATAATAAAAGACTAAAACATTTAGACGACCTGAGGAAGGGTCTGCATGCGGTTGCATGTTCCCTCAGACGAGGCTATACATTAGCTTGTTGAAAAATTAAAAATTATCTGAAACGCGAGTTTGGATTCGAAATCTTATATTCATCTTGACAATTCGGAAATCTTTGTCAGCAATAGCTTAATTGGCAGAGCGACTATACGTCGAACAGGAGTAAGTGGGTTCGAGTTCCCCACGGACAGATTTTTTTCAATTTTTCATTAATCTTGTTTTCTCCTTGGAAGTTCAAACATAATTTTTATTATTTCGTAACGGTAATATTAGAATTTTTTTGGGAATTTCCTGGGAATTTAATAAAAACTTTTATTTACTTTATCCAGTAAATAAAAATGGCGTATACTTTCTGTTGTAATTACATGGAATTGAGATATATAGCTCAACTTTCTTGTATAATGTGTAAAAAATAAAAATACCACATCCTGGGTACATTTTTTAAATAAATATTTGATGCTTAATAAGGTGTGTATTATTGGCTGTTTGCAGGTAAGAATAAGCACAATTTTTGGTGTTTTTCTGGATGTTTTTTTTTCTGATGTTATTAGTTCAAAACATAAAATTGACCTATTTCGTTTGATAATAAATTATGTTGTTTATAAATTGAACATATAAAACAAATCTTGCACAAACACCCAAATTTCGTATTTTAACAGGTGTATTTTCTAAATAGACTTTGTTATTTGAAATATAATTATTAGCCAGTAACTAATGTACACTACCTGCCATCGATAAATATTTAACTTAAAATTATATTCAAATTCAAAAATAGATAACTATCACGTAGTGTCAAAAGTATCAACTCCCAGCGAAAACAGGAACAATATTTTTCAGTATTGATGGATGCTACATAATTTTACTGTAAAAAATCTTAAATTTAAAAATTTGGTGGATGCGCTTCCTAATTATGTAAGAAATGTTTACATTTTGGTGGATGCACTGAAAATGCTTTCCTATCTATAATATTTTTTATCAATTTAACTGGTATATTTAAAATGGAAAACCTACCATTTTCTTCCGCAAAAACAGATACATTTTTTTGCTCTTTTCCGAAAGCCAGAATAATTTAATAAATAATAAATATTTCCCAATACGTTATATAATAAATTTAAAAATTTGGTGGAGGACCCTAACTGTTAATTAATATTTTTAACCGTAGTGGGGCGCTGAAATGTCTCACCAATTTAGTAATAATTATTAATTAGACTATTTATTTAACCCTAGAACATTATTAGGATTTTAATCCACGTTAATACTAATATGTCGTAAATATGACGACAATGGGAAAATAATTTAATTAAATGGTCAGTTGTATTTAAAAAAATATGTAAAAATAAAGCTGTATTCTTTTACTAATTCAAAAGCTGTAAGGTTTATTGAAGATCCAGTATAAGTAAGTAAAAAAACTTAATCCATCGATACAACAAAATATTGGACGGAAGGCCAAAAACAGAATAAGTATGCATTTTTGGAGATATATATTTCAAATTTTTTTAATATATATGCTCTTCATTCTTTATTGTTTAATATTTATGAAACACCCTGTATTATGGTGTCTATTATATGCCTAATATATTCTTAACCTTAATTTTTAGCATTTAGTTAGAACGTAATATCAAAGTAAAGTAGACACTTTTTATTGTCCTACTTACACAGAAAAAAAAAGGTGTACTATGTTCAAGATGAATGGTCTTATTTCAATGCATTGTTGTGTTGGTATATCCGCCAGTAAAATTCGTCTCGATTTGAAATTCTAGTAATACGTGTTCAGCAATAGCTAATAAGCCTTGCTTCAAGATTAGAATCAACTTGCCCTAACCAAAATACCTCTAAATAAATTAAGAATATCTATTGCTTAATTGTAGTATTATGTACATCCTAAATGACATAGTCTCACACTTTTTTTAAATATACTTCATTTATATTCAATAATACCTTGTTCTTAAGTCCAATACAACTAAATTTGTTACAATAATAATATGATCTTCCACATAAATATATTGATTTTGGTTGAATTATAGGATAGAATTAAATTTTTGTTCTTTTTATTGCATAGCCAATTTAAAATATTGTTAATGATTTCCGAATATCATTAAGTATAAAATCCAAAGTACCATAACTAATAAAATAGTTTTTCTTGCTCGATTTAATGGCATGAAAATTCAATATGGCGCCCACAAGAAATAACAAAGTTGGCTATGGTTGCTCAAAATCTAGAAGGCAAAACGATTAGGCGTAGATCATAATACAAAACTCTTAATTTTTGTTAAAGTTTTCCAAACGATCTAGACAATATTGTTAGTTTTCCAACATAACAATTTTTAGTTTTTACCCGCAATTTTGGAATCCCCTGTAGATATTTAAGATTTCAAATTAGATTATTTTCTCTAATTTAACCAACGCTGTATCTCTTACCGTTTAGGATATCCCAATGGGATAACTGTAAGAGTGACCACCATATATAGAAGCAGAAAATGGAAGTGATGTCGCAAATGGTGATGATGATGATGATTATGATGATGGCCAACAAGAACAAAAACAAGAAAGTCGTGAAGACTTAGAAACAGACCACGAAGAGGATAGACAAATTAAGAAGAGGAATATGAAGAAACTATTCAAGAAGTGGATTAAGATGAAAATTGTAGGGACTCTAACACAGAGCAAGAACCGGTATAGCTCTTGGCCATACAGTTTTATCCTTAAAAATTTAATAAGAAAAACTATTTGTGCTGATCATGTTAGGTTTAAATTTACTGAGAACACGCTGTTATGAACAGTCCGTTTTTGAATAAAACTATTAATTTTTATCTGTATAATACTATTTAACTGTCCTTAGTTGTTTGTTTTAGCAGATTTATAATATTTGTAATAAATTTAATTTATTTTAGTTTTAATTAATGGCCCAGATAATAATGTAATGTGAGCCATTTCATTATTCAGTCATTCTCTAATACTCCAAGTCCTTCTCTGTCTTATTTGGCCTTTGAGGCTTAACTTATCCGATTATCATCCATAATTAAACCCCTTAAGACCAAACATATGTGACGACTATGGCGGAGGAGCTTTCGATGACTGTTCGAGAAAGAACGGGATAATGTTTCTAGTGTATTGGTGAGAATAAGTGAACTTTCTAGCACATTCGCCAGTTTTTTAAATTTGTATATAAATATTGGTGGAGGACCAAGCGAGAGTTAGTTATTATATATACAGTGAAGATAATGATATAGAAATTCCTGACGTCATCAAAATTAATATCTAAATTGAACAATACTGGGGTGGTGAAGTGTCTGGAAAGTAAAATTTAAGTGAAAAATCAAAATGTCGGGGTTTTTATTGATTTAGAGAAAAATGTCAGATAATTATTGATTGTCAGTGGGAATAGAAAACTATCAGAGGGAGGATATTTGGAATGTTATATTAAATTAAATTAGAGAGATTAATGATGTTAGAGTTGGAGAATTGTTAAACCAGATAGAAGAAATAAATAAAATAAAAGGTACATAAGAATTTTTAATTAAAAATAATACATTAGAAACAAGCAAAGACAGGTAGAAGCAGGAGAGGCAGAGGCACGACAGATACATAAGAGACAGGTAAACACGAACAACACACACAGGTAGAGATTAGCAGATAGGTACAGAATAGCAGAGAGATAGAATCGAGCAAACAAACAGAGACAAGCGGATAGGTAGAGACAAGTGGAGAGAAGGAGCTAACGGAAAGAGAAGATAGCAGAAGAATTTAAAATTAAATTTTTTTAATATTAAATTTGATAAATAATATATTTTTGTTGTAAATTTCTAGAACCGAACCACCCCCTTTTAAGAGTCTGGTCAAATTTATTAAAAACAAATTGATATACAGTTTTAAGACATTCAAAATATATTTAAATTAGAATAATAGTGTTATAAAAGTGTTTAAATTATTTATTAATAAATAAACTGTTGTTTAAAATAAACATCACAATAATTTTAATCCAAACTTTATAAACGCCTTCTATTTCATAAAATTTGAATCTAAAATTATTTCTTACATAATCACAAAGAAGGTTATTATTGTTTGATCTCTGTGGAACTTTACAAGATTTTCAGATTTAGTCCCACCAACACATGAAAACTATGTACATATAAAAAATTCCAAAAATATAAATTTTGATTTATTACAAAAGATTCAAACAATAACTTTCTACAACCATAATATGTATAACTGTTTTAAAGTTAATTGATTTAATATAAGAACATATATTTAAAAAATAGGTAAATTATGAAATTTGCTTTATTATCTTATAAAAATGAAACTGGGATGTTTCCAGGAAAATTACATTTAGTTTTTCTTAATACTAAGTTAAGACTACATGTTCCTCAGTTTATGATACTTTATTCTGATGATTAAAATTTAAACAGACCCCCGAAATTTAAGTGGTTTTAAATTCTACGGAAAGTGCATTATATGTTTTAGGACCGAGATATGCATATAAAACTTCTTTGCACTAAAGTGTTTTTCATTCTAGGTACGATTACCTAATTTTTACACCGCGTAGGATA